ATTGAGAATTGCGGAATTGCTGTTGCAGGAATATGCTGGAACTGATCTTGTCCAGTGTTAAAAACATTCAAGAATTCTGCAAAAGAACTGTTGAATCAGTGATAGCTTGAAACCAGCCACGGGAGGAGTATTTGCACCATGGCCATAGATAAACACTGCAGATCTGGTTTTTTACTTTTTTTTTTTTTTTTTTTTTTTTGAGGGAGGTGGGAAGTGGTGAGAAAAAGAGAAAAAAGAACTGGTTTGCTAGCACATCACACCACAGATTGTCTAATTATTCTCACCACATTTAAAGTATTTTGTCAACTCCCCACTATAGCTTTCCATTATAAATTCAAATGCTTCCAGGACTAAGCAATCCATGACTTCTCAAGGAGTCAAATTCCAGCATGGACATGTATCCATGTACACACATTAAACTGTAGGCTCCATAATAGCTAGCTATTTTGTATTCTTCGTGGTGCCCAGCACAGTGTGCAGTAAAAAACAGATCCTTCAACCTTTCTAGCCTCAGTGTCCAGGGCTCACACTGCCCTTTCACTTCTGACCTTATTGAGCCTTGGAACTGTTCCTTGAACATATCGGGTATTTCTTACTTTGGTAACTTTCCAAACGCCACTTACCTGCCATGGCTGGCCCAAGCTGATTAAATCCCTCTCACCACTGAGTGGCTCTGTGGCTTTAACAGGCCTTTACTTAAACATGTTGTATTTTAATTGCCTGTTGATTGATCCATCTCTCTGCTATATAATAAGCTGCTTAAGTGTTATTTTTTCCACCTCTGTATCACAAGGCTGAAGTCCCCAGCATATAGAAGGTACTCCAATAAATATTTATTCATAGTGAATACAGCAATTCAAATAAATTAATTTATATAAGGTAGGTCTGCTCTGGCACTGGTACACAATATTGATTACTCAAAAAAATAGGCCTCGTGGACTTCATGACACTGTTGCAACTACACAACAACCATCGAATATACATTTCAAAGAGGAGACAGTTTACTTACAACTCCAGGAGCAATTTTTTGCCTTCTTCCTAGGCACTGAGAGAGTATCCCTGCCCTTGTTTTCCTCTCTTTGCGCTTAGATGTCTGTTCTTGCTGGTATGCCTCTGTCCTCTTTCTGCCCTGCTTCAGCACCAGTGGGAGATGCACCACAATTCAAGTGAAACCTGGTTTATCCCCAAGAAATCTTCATAGTTGTTCTATTGTTCTCTGCTTAATACCACACAAGTAAAAATTAGGCCAGAGGACTTGGGAGAGTGAGCAAACGAAATAAGAAAGAATGGAGAAAAAACATAAAAGTAAAGTAAGGCATGAGAGAACTGTATAAACTGGGATGGGGAGGATAAAATGTAAAAACCTTTTCTAAGAAAAGGTATAAAAATAAAGCAAGGCATGAGAGAATTGTATAAACTGGCGTGGAGAAGATGAAATAAAAAAGAACTTCTTCTGAGAACCAAATGAGGTCATAATACTCCAAAATGCTGAATTTAAATGTTCTTCCTGCCTCCTCCTTTAAGGTTCAAAAGACAGCCGGTGTGACCACATTCACAAAAGTGACTTTCTCTTTACATTGCCAAAATATTATTATTATTATTATTATTATTATTATTATTGGTTTATAGGTCCAGGAATCTTTCTAATGATGGAGAAGTAAAATAAGAATAAAATGTATTTTATAAAAATCCTAACTTTACCAAGAGAGAAGAGGAAAGTTATGCTCTCTCTATATTACGTAGGGGCTACCAGCATATGATCTCTGTGCACAGAAGTGCATTTATCTGGGAAATTGAAATAATTATTCAGCAAGCTCAGGCAAAAGTAAGTTCTAACACCAGAGCAGAGGACATAGGCTAACTGCACGAAAGCTGATTTATTATTGTATAAAATGTCAAATTGTGACTATGTTTTTTACCCTATGTATAACTTGTATTTTTACAATGGTGCTAATATGACAAAGAAAATAATGGAAGACTCTCAGAAAGAAAGTTTAAAATATAGTGACTTTTATTTCAGTAACATTATTTTTCAATCATTGAGCCCTGCTGTACATCTTGACATTAGCCGTTCAATCATACTCCAAATGAAGTAAAAATTATCCAGTAGAGGAAACATTCTATGATCCATTTCAATTCTACTACCTTTCCCACTGTTCACATTAAAAGAAATGGATATGAAGTGCTAGAGACAAGAGCAGGACAAATTAACATTTTGCTTTTTCTGTGTGTCATTGTTGCGTTTTGAGATAGGGTCCTGGTATGTGGCATAGGCCAGGGTGCAGTGGTGTAATCATGGCTCACTGTAGCCTCAAATTCCTGGGCTCAAGGGATTCTCCAGTCTCAGCCTCCCAAGTAGTTGAAACTGCTGGCATGCACTGCCCCACCTAGCTAATTTTTTAATTCTTAACAGAGCCTGTTCTCCAGGCTGGTCTCAAACTCCTGGCTTTAAGTGATCCTCCTACATCAGCCTCCCAAAGCACCAGGATTACAGGTATGAGCCACCACACATGGTCAAAAGTCCTACCTGTAAACTAAAGTTCCATTGAGACTGATGGTTAAAAATTCAAACTGGAATCAAACCAGCAACACTCTAAAATCTGAAAAGATTCATTACTTCTCTACCAGAACACTTTTTAAAAACAAGCTGAAGGTAACTTTCATTCAGCTTGTTCAGGGCTGTGTTCTACCTTTCTTTGATGTCTCCCACAACATATAGTCAGGTGGTAGCCCCATGAAGTGCAATTCACTCAGAGGAGGTCAGAATTATCCATTCATTCATTGATTAAATTCAGATGAATCAGGTCTATGTGCCAGGCACTTTGAGTATCAACAATTCCAATATCAACAAGACACACTGTAAGCTCAAGAACATCACAGTTTATGGTAGCCAAGACCACTATTTTTAAATTGATAAACGTCTACTCTGATGTACTTAGTGCCCAATTCTTCCTCCCTCCCTTTCTCTTAAAAACAAATAATAATAATAAAATTAAAAAAAGAATGTATATATATATATACATTCTTTTTTAATTTTATATATATATATATATATATATAAATATATATATATATATGTATAGTACTCCCAAAGCAATCTACAGATCAAAACCAATGTCATTTTTCACAGAAATAAAAAAAAAAAAAAACCTTAAAATTTGTATGGAACCAAAAAAGAGCACAACAAACCAAAGCAATCCTGAGTAAAAAGAGCAAAGCTGATGTGTCATACTACCTGACTTCAAAATCTATTGCAACACTAAAGTAACAAAAACAACATGGTATGAAAACAGACACATAGACCAATGGAATAATACAGAGAACCCGGAAACAAATCCACATTTTTATAGAGTGAACTGATAGATTTAGAGTAGACAGAGAGCATAATGATAAATACGTTTGATAAAGGCACCAAGAATATACATTAGGGAAAGGAGATCTTTTCGATAAATGATGCTGGAAAAACTGGATGCCCACAAGCAGAGGAATGAAAGTAGACCCCTATCTCTCACCATACAAAAATCACCTCAAGATGGACTAAAGATTTAAACATAAAACTGCTAGAAGAAAACACAGAAGGAATACTTCAGGACATTGGTCTAGGCAAAAGTTTTATGGCTAAGGCCTCAAAAGTACAGGCAACAAAACCAAAAATAGATAAATGGGGCTATCTTGAACTAAAAAGCTTCTACACAGCACAGCAAAAGCAAACAATCAAGAGAGTGAAGAGACAACTGTTAAATGGGAAAAAATATTTGCAAACTATTCATCTGACAAGGGAATAATATTCAGAATATATTAGGAACTCAAACGTCCAAACAGTAAAAAAGCACATAATCCCATTAAAAAGTGGACAAAGGACATAAATGGACATTTCTCAAAAGAAGGCATACAAATGTCCAGCAGGTATATGAAAAAATGTTCAACATCACTAATAAACAAGGAAATCCAAATTGATACCACAGTGAGATATCATCTTATCCCAGTTAGAGGGCTATTATGAAAAATGCAAAAAATAACAGATGCTGGCCAGGATGCAGAATAAAGGGAACTCTTACACATCATTGGTGGGAATATAAATCAGTACAGCCACTATGAAAAACAGTATGGAGATTTCTCAAAAAACTAAAAATAGAACTAACCATAATGTCCTGCAATCTCATACTGGGTATTTATCCAAAGAAAAAGAAATTGGTATATCAAAGGGATTCCCAAGTTTATTGCAGCACTATTCAAAACACCAAAGATGGAGAATCAACCTATGTGTCCCTCAATAGATGAACAGATAAAGAAAATGTGGTACACACATGGAATGTGATTAAGCCATAAAAAAGAATGAAATCATGTCATTTACAGCAACATGGATGGAACTGAAAGTCATTATGTTAAGTGAAACAAGCTGGGTACAGAAAGACAAATATCACACGTTCTTACATATGCAGGGGCTAAAAAACTTGAACTCATAAAGGTAGAGTATAGAATGATAGATGGGTGGGGAGAGGATGAAGAGAGGTTGATTAATGGGTGCAAACACACAGATAGATAGAATAAGTTCTAATGTTCCACAGCAGAGTAAGTGACTAGAGTTAACAACAGGCATTGTTTATTTCAAAATCGCTGGAAGAGAGGACTCGAAATGTTCCCAACATGTAGACATGATAAATACTTGAGGTGATGGATACTGTAAATACGCTGATTCCATCATTATACATATTGTGCATGTAACAAAACATCACATGTACCCCATAAATATACACAATAATTATGCATCAATAAAAATAATTTATTGAAGTCAAATTCATATCACATAAACTTAAAAATATAAAGTCAACCATTCAGTGGCATTTAGCACATTTGCAATGTTGTGCAACCACCACTTCAGCTAGTTCCAAACATTTTCAATATTCCAAAGTAAAACCCCTTACCTATTAAGCAGTTCTCCTGTCAAGACTACTTTTAACTTCAGTGTATGGGAAGCCTTCATTTAGAAACCGGTTTTGAAAGAAATTCTATGCCTATAATCACCTAACTTAAATGTTAGAATTGAGAATAATGGAGTCAAAGAGTCTTGTAACATCAGACTCCGCCTCTTAAGATTTTTTAAATGGCATTCTTCATTCTGTTTTTTTTTTTTTTTCCTTTGGTTTTGGTTTTTTCAGTTTTTGTCAATTTTCCAGATTCTCATCACCCAAAGCCAATAGATGTTTCCTTTGATCCAGTAGCTAAGGCATGGTTAAACTGATCACATTCATACCAAATTTCCAAAGATCAATCAACAAGAATTCTCAGGTCTACGTGCTTGTTTATTTAGCCCTCTCTCTACGCCTGAACTTCATCTGGAAGTTACACATAGTCTTATTTCTGTCTTCAGCCATAAGCAATAGTGTATTTGCACTAAAAAACATTTCCATGGCATCTTCTTTATCTAATTTTCTATCAGCAAACTTTTCTTTGATATTTCCTTTTTCTGCCCATTCTGATAATTCAGTTGACTCTGAATTCTGGTAAGTCACAAAACTCTTTCCAGGTAATCTTTGTTTCTCTTTCATAATCTGCTGTTTACATATCCACTTAATTCATAATTTTGCTAAACTCCTCCAATTCTTTGCTCCTACACTGTTATCTTGTCATCAAAATATTGATTTTAATACCTGTGACCTCTCCAGTCCATTTAAAATATTAATTACCAAGTTTCCTGCCTTTGATATTAGAGTTCTTAATATGAACACCAAACCAAATGTTTTATCCTCATTTCTAAAGCTCTACTCCATTGCAGACACCCTGTTCTCTAACACTTGCAGAGAAAAAATAAGAATGCCATTATAAATCTGAAAACTTCTGGGCTTACATGTCAGAAATAGATTGGAAACGACTTGTTTTGAAAGGAGCTTATACTGAGGCAGCATAGCATAACACAGTGGTTAAAAGCAAGTCTGTGAAAGTGAGAAAGACTGGGGTCCAAATCTTGGCTCTAACACTTCCAAGCTACGTGACTCTGGGCAAGTTGCTTAAATTCCCTGAGCACCAGCTTTCTAATCTGTATGATGTTAAAAAAAAAAAAAAAAAAAAAAAAAAAAGGGCAGCACTGTTTAGTAAACATGGTCTTGGCTTTACACCACTTCCTACTGTTTCTATAACTGTCAAGTCCATCAACACGTTACCTCAGAAAACTGTGGAAAAGGTATAACCTTTGGAAAATGTAATCAAGGGGAACAACTTTTCCTAGGCCAAGCCCAGCCTCTGGTTCTGCCTTGACACGTATCTCTAAATCATAATGTTTTACTGGGTCTTCATTTCCTTACTTATAAACTGAGGGGCGTTGAGTGAGGAGTTCTATTTATTTGCATTTTGGCTCTGCAATTCTGGGGTTTTATTTGACACAGGAGGACCAAGGAGCAGAAAGGAGCAATCAAAGGGAGTGGTTTGCTCAAGATCACATAAAAAGATTTGCTGTAAAACAAGGAGCATCTCCTAAACTGCTCACCAGCAAGCTTGATGTCCACTGGAGTAGAACGTGCCCTCTTGGCTCCTACAGCTGCAGCTCCACTCATTTATCTCAGCCCACTCTGACTCTCAACTGCTTTCACTTCCACCTCCCTGCATTTTGCCCTGATAATTTTTTTTAGCTTACCTAGCCTACCTCTTTGAGATCTCTTCTTAAAAGGGTCATTCAGTTAACTGGCCCCTATCAGTTACTTTACTATTGCTGATCTATTGCTACCTGTCGATTCACGAGATTTACATGGTGCACTGGGGCAAGAGTAAAATAATCCAACAAACACAATGTTAAATTAAAAAAGATAAGCTGAAATATACCGATGACTTTTTATAATTACAATATATTTATGAACAAGAACATATATAGTAAAAAGACAAAAATGTGAACAGGATGACTTTACTAAATTTGTGGGAGAGGCTGTGCTGCAGAGGATGGAAGAAAAATGAGGCTGGCAGTGACGGTGGGGAAATGCAATCTCCAAAATTATCTATCATCTATATATTTTTATTAAAAACAGCCTTGGTAATTAGGGCAAATGTTAATGTTTGTTTGTTTGTTTCAGGTTGTAGACACATGTAAGATCTCTTGCTTTCTGGGTACATTTTGTTTTTCAGATTAATTCTAAAAGACTTATACCTGCTACATGAAGAACCAAGCAAGTTCAGATCTCTTGCTGAAATGTTCAACTGCTGAGGCAAGGCCTCTACTACAAATTTGTGTAACCAAAACCACAGGGCTCTCCATGCTCCTAGTGTTGGATTACAGCAGTTAGAGGAGATTGGCTGTTTTGTTTCCATGGCTCATTAAGCTAGAGTTAGACTGGTGTCCATAATCAAATTCACTGCACTTATCCCTGTCGCTTCCCTATGAAGTGAAGCCGGACCTCAGGGAAAAGTCTCAAATATTCTAGGTCTATGGTAATTTGGTCCAGGAAAGAAATTAACACACCTGAAAAGGATTAAATTATTTTTCCTTTTCTAAATGACTCTCTTCCTTAAGTTTCCTCGGTTAATTGACTGTCAACCTTACTTAGTAATTCCCGTCCCTCATCGGGCTTCCTAGCACTTCCTGCTGCAAATTAGTGTGCAGTGAACCTGAGCCTGCTCTCCAAAACACATCCAGACTCTTGGGGCTTTCTGGGCTTCTGCTATGGTGCCTGGTGCAAAGGGCACCTAAATATCCCCAGGGGATGATCAATCAACTAAGTCTTGGGAATGTTCCAGGCAAGAGGAAGGGATATCTTGCGGGACAAAAGGAATGTGTAGGTGGGAAAAAAGGAGAGTCTTTCTTTATTTTTCACTGTAGTAAATGATCTCGACAGAGTGCAATTTGAATCGTAGACAGGGATGGCTGGGCAGGATGTGATGAGGGAGGGAGTGACCAACACAAGTGACAGGAACAAATTAGGGAGATCGGTCAGAAAACACCTAATCAAGGCACAAAGCAGAAACAGTGAAGGGAACAGAAACAGTTGTTCTGTATTGCACTGACGGTACTAATGTCAAAGTCTGTGCTTTTTAACCTCGTGGGAGCGTGGTGCAAGGAAGCTTGTGTGAAGGCTCTGGCCCTGCTTATTAATCCCCGAAATACAACAATACATCCTCACATTCATACATTTGAAAGCAAGGGGCTTTGATCCTGTGATATACAATCTATGCCCTTATTGGATCCTGGAACTGATTCTCAGAATCCTTTATTCTTTTAAGTACAATTGTAAAAAGAAAAAAAAAAAAAAAGAGAGAGAGAGAGAGAAGCAAGGAAGAAAGGAAAAAAGGTAGGGAAGAAGAAAGGAAGGAAAAAAAAAAAGGAAAGAAGGGTTCCATTTATAAACCTCAAACAAACCAAAAATGAAAGCAAAACAGAACAAAAAATAGCCAATATGACCCAAGTTACAAATTTACTTGTACCCTTTCAGAGTATAAACCCAAATTCCTGCAAAACAATTAGCCATCTTTCTTTCCATTATTACATTAAGCAAGACAGGTTAAGAGTACATCGTAAATGTGCTTTGCTAAACTCCTCCCTTTATTTACTCTATCATAAGAAGCACATTTAATATAACTTTTACGATTTTTTTTTTTAAGAACAAATAGGAAAGTGGAGAAGGGTCTACTTCTGCTACCTTTGTGTATTGGAAAGGAATGCTGTTCGGGGTTTCTTCCTTTTAAAAAAGAAACAGGTCTTTGAAAACCGAACCATTACTGTGCATTTCTCTCAAGGGCTGCTCCTCTAGTATCAGTCCATTTGAAATAGGAGTTTCACATAATTCAATTTATTAAAACCACATTTCCTGCCAGATTTTGCTTTATGTGCCTATGTCCTTTTGTTTCCCGGCTAACATTTCCACATCTCGGAAATCATTCTTTCTAGTATAACTGAAGAATATGGTATTAAAATCAGATCAGCAGAAGATTTTTATGGACTTGGAAAGCTGCCCATCAATGCTGTAAAATAAAGTGTGTTATGCAGCTGATATCGGCAAGTCTCTTCTACGTTGTTTTCATATTCCTGGGGGTGGGTAGAGAGAGTGGAACACTTGGGAGTGGGAAAGAGAATGGAAAGGATTCGATCAATTGTGGCATTTGAAAGCAGAGGCAATTTACACTAAGAATACTTTTCAAAGACTTCCTAACCTCCAATACATTTTCCAGTCCAGGCAACCTTTGAATTATAGCTGGAGGTGATGTTTTTGGAGCTGCCTGTGGAAGCTGAAATCACAACACGCCTGCAGTGTTCCCTTCCTAAACCAGCTTTGCCATTTTCTCAGGCAGACACACAAGCATGCAAGCGTCCACAGTAATGTGTATGTGTGAGGGATGGGGGAAGGGTGACTGCTGCTTTGTAGTAGCTCCTTTGAAGTGTTTAATTCCTCCCTTGTAATCTCTTCATCAACACACATTTAAAGCGTATCAGTTTTAGCTCAGAAATTTCATTCTCAGAGGCTTATGCGGCTCAGGGCCTCTGTCCAGCACCTGGGTGGCACGGTTTGTTTCATCTGCACGCAGAAATGCTAACAGAATTGAATTCTTTCCTTCTCTCTTTCTCTCTTCTTCCCCCACCTCCCTCGATTTAGGTTAATGAGCCCACGGCAGCAGTGTGTGTGAGTAACCGGGCGTGTACACAGGAGCGCCCTGAGCCTGCTTTTTTAAAATACAGGAAATGCATAGAAGAAAGAAGAGTTCAGCTGGAGCCACGGCTTCCCTCTTTGCTTCTTTCCCTCCCCACCCCCCGCACTCCCCCCCCCAACCCCCCACCCTCCAGCACCGGCTTTTAATTTTCAAAAGCACTGCAATTGCTTGGTGTGGTTTCAAGAGCTGGGGTGCCATTCTCCCTGATGATGACTCTGCTGACGTCAATGGCATTCTTATCATGCCTAGTGCGACATCAGAAACCAGTCCTCAGAGGCTCCTCTTATTCACAGTGCCTGGGCTCTCAGCAAAATGTGGAACGGATCTCTGAAACGCAAAGGACTCCCCGCTCCTAACCGGCGCTGCAATCCAGCAGCCTCCTTCTGCCGGCAGCTTGCCAGTTAAGACTTTGTTCCTTAGTGTTCTGTCCTGCAAGGACCCCCTGAAGGAGAAGAGAGGGCTAAGTGGATCACAGAGTGTCCTCCCTATCTGAGCTTTCAGAGCCGTGTGTGTGTGTGTGTGTGTGTGTGTGTGTGTGTGTGTCCCTCAACCAAGGTTAGAGACTAGTCGATGCTGCTTCTGATTATTCTTCAGGTTTTACTAAAAGGCTGCAGTCTTTGGTATAAGGCGATTCCCTGACACAGTGGCTAAAAGCCTCTTGTGTAAGTGCTCCCAGCTCACTCTCTGGGACAGAACCAGTACCCAGGTCCCCATGTGAAGCCCGTATTCACCCCAGACTGCAGCATACATCCCCTCCTCCTTTTTTAATAAAGAAAAAAAAATAGCAGTTTGGGAGAAGAAGGAAAATAATCATAGCTGAATAATAATAATAGCAGAATAGGAAAACAGTATCACTAAGAATCAAACATTTCACTCTAAATACTCATGACTTGTTAAGATGTCTGATCTCAAAAGCTGAATTTTCAAGGGAGTCACTACATACTAAACCCAATATGCATTCCTAGCAGTTTGGGGGTAATTATTATGGGGATGATGAAGCTTTCTCCATTTACAGTGGAGTATATTATGGTCCAAATCTACCCTAAAGCATTTGGGAAATGTCTAAAGTTCAAATTAAGATGTTTAGAGTCAAGGTCATTTAGCATGATGATGGAATAACACACGTCTAGTTAGATTTCATCTGCCCAATGTTTGACGCAAACACATCAGAATTGTCTTGGTATCCACCAACCAAATAATGATTGTTTCTCTTGAAGATTGTTGAGTGACCCATAGTAAGCTTATTAGGAGCAACTGTCCTGGAGAGAACTGTTTAGCAACATATGAAATGTGCAACATTTCAAATAGTTCCATCTAGAACTATTTAGAATGATAACATGGAAGGACAACAGCTTACACTTGGTTCAACCCTTCTACCTTTAAGTGAGGAAACTGATGCTCAAAGGCTGTTTCATGCTTTGCTCAAGGTCACTCAACTATTAAGAGGCAGGATTGACAAACTAAAGCTGTCTCTCTCTAAATGGTATGCTTTTCCTGCTACAACACATTGCTCCTGATTATTCAAATCCTTCTGACCGGACCTCAAGCCTATTTGCCAAGGAAGCTTCCATTTTTCTTTTGAAATCTGAATATTTCTTAATTTCTTGATTAAAGTGATATTTCAGGAATGTTTACATAAATTATGATTTTCTCCTTTGTTTTCAGTGAGTTTCACAACTAGTGTAAAGGTTATTAAGTAGCATGGAACAAAACCATATAAACTGGAATGCATGAAATTCAGATGGTTTTGTTATTTGTTATTTTTTTGTAGAGACAGCATCTCCCTATGTTACCCAGACTGATCTCAAACTCCTGGGCTCAAGTAATCCTCCTGCCTTGCCTCCCAAAATGCCGAGATTACAAAGTAAGCCACTGAGCCCAGCAAAGATTTTTTTTTTTTTTTTTTTTAAGTGATGATGGGCTCTGGGAAGAGTAGATTTACCTACGTTCCAAATATATGAGCTCCCTGAGCCCAGCCATCGTTCTGCTTCATCTACTACGTAGCTCTCACCATGGTTTGTAACATTGCTTGCTAATATATTTTATTTGCTACCTAATTCAAGCCATTGAGTTAATATTTGATTACATAGATGTGATCTTTATGGTAACTTTTCCATTACCCCCAATAGTTTTGCCTTCTTTTCAGAGGACCATGACTGCTTCTATAAACCACCTTTTGCTACTCTCTTTTTGGTTGACATGCGCCACATTTTGGTCCTGAATGGTGAAGAGATGAGGCAGAGTTAAAAGATGCTGGTTTTAGAGTCAGACAAAACCTGTGTTGGAAACCTGGCTTAACCCCTTGCCAGTATATAATTTCAGGACATAACTTCTCTGAGCTTCGGTTACCTTATCTATAAAATAGAAATAATGACCCCTACTGAGGGAAT